GATTTTTTTAACATATATTCAAGGTATAAATGATTCTTTTATTTTCTTTTTTTTTAAATAATATCTTATGTTCATTTGAAAATTTTAAATTGTTTTTATTTAGAAGGAAATTTTTATGTAGCATTTTTTCAACACACATTAAGAAACCATTCTAAAACCGTTATGCATTTAATTTAAATTTTTATTTATGACAATCTGTTAAAATCAGGATGTAAATATGCATAATTGATTTTATCAGTTAGGATATTGGCCATTCTTATTCAACTATTTGAGTTCTTAAACAGATTTATAAAATGGAAAAATTTTTTGGAGCTACCGAAATGGATAATCATATAAACAGTATTCATAACGGTTGAAATTTTTTCCCAATTACGTTTCTCCGTTCTAATTTGAAAGAGAGTTCAGTATGGAAGAAGTGTTACATTTAACATTTCATAAAACTTTGAATATACATCTTTTTTAATTTAAATTCCTGAGACTTTTAATATATACTGGAAAAAAAAAAAAGAATTTCCTTAAACGAAAGTAGATCCATGAAAATTTGTCCTGATTAGAAAGGCACATGGAATCTACCATACAGGGTGGGAAAATGAATCAAAAAAGATCTTGTGTCAAGTTATAACCTATTTCAAATTTTAATTTTCAGGTTTTTGAATATAAATCATTTTTTTGAAATATTGATCCAACAATTACCAAAAATATGACAAACAGTAAATATATTCCTAAAATATAAATTTTGAATACATTGACTAAATTTTTCATTAATTTTTCCATTTATCAGCCACTAACTTTCGCGGTGACCAAATAAAATTGGACCAAAGGACACCCCTTGCCTTCTCATCTTAGACTTAAACTTTTATATCCTCATTAGGAACTTTTATACAATCTATCACTGAGTCTTCAAAATTGCAATAAAACTAATCTTGATAACTTTCCATAAATCAACCTCTACTTTTACAATGCATTTACACCTCATTCATTTTACCGGCTGAAATGTTCACTCCTTATTTCAAGTATAGGTTTTAAATGTATCTTTTTTTCGTATGGATCTAATGAACCATTTTATTAAAAATATATTTTGATATTAGATTGAATCAAAAATATTATAACAATATAAATTTCACTGTCCAACTATCTTGAATTTTTTGAAATTGACATGCTCAATAATAGAAATTTTCCATAAAAATGGCTAACTTTTTCAGCTATTATTCAAATATTGTGATTTTTTGATCCCAAAAAGATGTGACACAAATTTGCCTATCCAATATATAAAATTTATATAAATATTATATAATAGGTATACATATTTTTATGAATCAATGAAATTCAGAATTGTAAATTCCTTTAAAAAAAAAATATATGGCCATTATATAGTATATTTTTTTAATTATATTTTGCTGTCATTTTTATATTTATTAGAAAAATCTTGGAAGTGTAATGCTTGTTTGTACCGACACACATTTCATTATTGTGAATTTTTAGGATTTTGCCTGTTGATTTAATTTGGATAGACTTATTGAACGAATTTCATAAAAAATGGTTTCGTCGTCGATCATTCCTTTTTGTTATGTTTTTTGGGTCTTTTACAAATTTTTTTTTACTGCTCCAAAAGAATAGACTTCCACACACAATAAATATTATATGTTTACTGCTAAAGTATATATATTATATTTTAGTTTTTTTAATCAATAATTTTTTTTTTTAACAAGTTTTGAAAATTAAATTTTATTCAATTCATGAATTTGAAATATACTTTTTTTATAAAAAAGTTTTTGAAATTTCTTTTCAATTTGATCATAAAATGTTTTTAATTTTTCCAATGCATGTCACTCACCATTCACTTATTTCCTATTTCTTTTTGAAAACTCATTTTCTTCATTTACGACATTGATAACAGTTTTCATTTTCAAACTTCAGATAACACAAGCAAGTTTATGTCTTTTATTCTATTTTATTTTACTGATAGATTTTTTTCTTTCATCTATAAATATGTTGCTTATTTTATCAAAATACACTGGCCATCCATTTAAGGTTACTAAGGGGTTAAACATTTTTCAGCTTTATTTATCAAAAAAGAAAAGAAAATTGAGCTGGGAAAAAAATAATGCAGAAGAGAATTTACTAATAAACAAATAAACAGAGAAACTAGGGCTATTAATATGGGGGAGATTTATAAATCTAAAATATGGGAATATTTTGTTAATTTTATATCTTAGAGAAATGACTAATTTTAAGATTTTAATTTTTTTTGAAAGGCAGTCAAGAGCAACCAAATAAAAAATATTTTTAATAAATTCAAGTCAAGAATATTTTTCAGATAATATATTTGCAAATTATTTTTGGATTTCTTATGGTGAGGAGACTGTAATGTTATTTAATATCATTGACAAACCATCAAAAAAAAATATTTGAAAATTCAATTTTGTTCACAAAGACCACAAAATTAGAACATTTTTTTTGTTTCAATCTTTTTGTAAGCTGTTATAAACATTAACATTATTTTTTGAGATAACAGAATCTATGATTATATATATATATATATAGTAGGATCACAATATAGAAATTAAAATATAAAATATCATGTATATTTTTTTATAAATATATTATACATTATGCTTTGTATGGAAAATAAAATATTTTTTAAAAATCCACAAAAAACCAAAACAATATGCCTTGTTAAAATTCCTTTTCAACTGAATATATATATATATAATATATATAAAAACAAGGGATGATCAATAAATAATTTATAATACTTAGAAGACAGAGTTTTTCAGAAATGTCTGAAGTAGGAAAGAACAATAAATGTAAAAACGAAAAAAATTGCATTATGGTAAAATGTGACCTTGTTGCTTTTTGCCATGTTTTTTTTCTTTTTCTTTTTTTTCTTTTTATTTTTTTGAAATTAGTTAAAACAATAATTTACCTTTATATATCTTCCTTATTTTTGCAGGTATGTGCTTGTCTTAAGAATTTGAGATAATTTCTTAAAATGTTTTCTAATTTTTCATTAATGATTAGGACTTTTAGGTAAGTGGTAAACAAGTGATTTTCTTTCACCTGTTACTTAGAAAAGCCTCCCAATTGTCAAATCCCAACCAATTCAGAATAATGTAAATAGTAATTTCAAAATAGAAATTTTTCTTTTCAATTCATTCTGCAACCTCCTAAAAAATCAAAAAAAGAAACTTTAAGGCATCTTTTGATAACAGTAAATAAAAAAGGATGTAATATTTTTAAAAATAAAATGTATAAAATGTATTGAGATTCTGAAAAAATAATATCAAATTGCCCTTGAGAATGTTAATATGACACTTTTCACTAGCTACATTAAAACTGATGTCTTAGTTTTTGCAATTAAGAATCAAAAAACCCCATTGCCCTGGAATCCTTAGGAGGGGCTTGTAAATCCAGGCAACTTTGAAGGATTTTTTGAACAGAAAAACAAAAAATCTAATAGGGGTAGAACCAAAAATCTTGTTTCAAATGGATGTCTAGGGATCCCAAATCTTGTTAAGATTTAGTAAAAATTATGTTTTGGTGTAGGCTGGGTAAACCAGAAGGGAAACATGGTGAATAGCTGAACTAGTGGTTTAAATAAGAACTTATATTAAATGAATAATAAAGAGTTCAGTTAAAAAATTTCCTGAGTCCTGAGAGTAAAAAACAAAATGTGATAAGAACAACAAAGATGAGGATAATAGTTTAAATGGATCAATGGTTTTCTCATACCAGAAATTAAAATAGACTAATATCACATCACATTTTAAAACTCTTTTTATGGACAACTATAATGACTATTATCAAACAATTTTCAAAAAAAAAGTTAAGCAGAGATAAAGTTTATTAAGAAAAAATAATTGTATGTAAAATATTTAATTGACAGACAAGATATACTTTTTTGTTAATTAATTTTTTGATATTTAGTAAATTTCATTAAAAAAAAAATTATATATATGATTTGTCAATAAATCCATAACCCAACATCATGAGAAAAGTTTCTTTCACATGACAAATCTTTCTTTGTTCAATATAAAATAAAAGACCCAACGCTTAGATCTAACATTACACTGAAAGTTTCAAATCAAAATTCAGTTAAAATTGGTGCCAGGATTATAGAAGACAGTTGATTTGTCCTATTATAAGATGTCCTGAGGATGATGTGATAAAAAATTAAAATAAAGAAAAAAGATGAAGGATGGAGTAAATAAGATTGAAAAAAACATATAGATTGCAAGTAAATAAAGAAAAAAAAGAATGTATGGATCATAAGAAAAATGAAAGAAAAGAAAAGGATGTAAGGATCTGTTGTTAAAAGTTATATTCGTCTTTTGCCACTCATATAACAAAGAATTTTCCTTACCAATATGCCATTCCTTTTTCATACAAGTCACCAAAAAACAAAATCCTTGCTTCCCATTTGTTCAGCCCATTTGTTATGCCAACATCACGGCTAAATGACCAATCAGCATTCTTCATTTTGTCTTTTAATTAAAGTCAAAAAGCATCCTCCAGAACCAATCAGCACACAAAATGTGCCATTGCAAAACTAATATAAGCTAACATTACCAAATCAAAAAATGTAAATATTCTAAAGGTGAAGAAATTCTGCCATTTTCAAGAACAAAAAGTATGAACCAATGTGTATTGGGTAAAAAAGTCATATGCAAGTTGATAAAGAACAAACCTCATTTACTTATACGTAATTTCCATAGGATCAAAAGCAAAATAAAAGAAGTGCAGTTCCCAAGTTAAGATAAAAGAAAAAAAATGAATGAAAAAGAAAGCAAAAAAAGAAAAGAAAAGAATAAGAACGGATCAAAAGAAAAGATGAAACGAAACAAAAGGAATAAGGATGTGTTTAGATCAAGAAACGGAAAAGGATAGTAGGAATCATAAGAAAAGATGAAAGAAAAAGTATTAGATCACAAGCAAAGATAAAAGAAAAGAAAAAGATGTTGGGTTTACAAGAATTGATGAAAAAAGGAAAGATGTTGGGATCAAAAAGAAAACATGAAAGAAATAAGAAAGGCTGTCATAGTATCACAAGCAAATATGAAGGAAAGAAAAAGGATGTAGGGATCACAAGAAAAGATAAAAGAAATGAAAAATGAATAGGGTTTACAAGAAAAGATGAAAGAAAAAAAAAGAATAGGGATCACAAGAAAAGATGAAAAGAAAAAAGTATGTACATTAAAAGTAAATAAAAAGAAAAAAAAAGATGTATTTAATAAACAAAGATGAAAAAAGAACCTTAGCAATTTTAAGATGAAAAAAAGAAAAGGTATATAGGGTTTATGAGAAAAGAGAAAAGAAATGAAAAGGATGTAGGGCTTATGAAAAGAAAGAAAAGTATTTAGGATCAAAAAAAACTAAGAAAGGAAAAAGGGGGTAGGGACAAGGTGGAAGATGAAAGAAAAGAAAACTATGTAGGGTTTTGAACAATGATGAAAAAGGGAAAAAGGATGTAGGGATTAATTTGATTAATAAGAAATTTGAAGGATGAAGTGACAAATCAAAAAGACTTTAAAAAAAGAACCTGTAAAAAGAAAAGAATCTTATAAATAAAAAAAGTATGAATGATCTGAAAAGATGAAAAAAAAAAAGAAGGATGACGGATCACAAGAAAAACATAAAAAATTGATGTAGGTATCACAAAAAACATGAAATAAAAAAAAAATCATGTATGGATCACAAGAAAAAGATGAAAAAAAAAAAAAGTATGTAGGGATCTCAAGAAAAGAAAAAAAAAAAAATAGATGTAAGGATCACAAAAAAAGATTAAATAAAAAAAAATTTTGTATCCATCCTAAAAGAAAAAAGAAAAAAAAGTATGTAAAAGTCTCAAAAATAAAAAAAAAGGAAGGAGAAAAGATGGTTTAGGATTATTTAAATTTTAAGAAAAAGAAAAACGGATTACCAGGAGAACATTAATCAATACAAAAGATAGATTAGATATATAGTCCTATTAGTTTTCTGTCAAAAGATTTAGAACTTCCAATTCATTAACTTGTCATTGAAGTCTGTTTTGTGTTCATTTATTTTAAAGTCTTCATCTCTTTTTCGGAGGCTTGAATTAAAAAGTTTGTAACAATTGAAAAAAAAAATCAGGAAATTCACATAATGTTCATCTGAACAATTAACAAACGGTATTTTTCAGTTTTTTTTTTTTTTTTTTTACTGTTTACCGTCAAATAAAATTTGATATTTAAAATTTGCTTATGATGAGTTTAAATCAAAAATCGCATTTCAATGATTCCATTTAAATCAAGTATTTGCGACACCCTAGGTTTGAAAGCTAGATTTTGGGGCACTTATCCAATTAATCAAAACTATATTTTTGAAATATTTTAAAATGTGATTAAAGTTTTAATTTTTTTCATAATTGAACCTGCACTAAAATTTCAAAAGTTTTAAATTTTTAACTTGAAAATAAAGTAATTGAAAGATGAAAATCCAATCTATAACCCTTTTTATTGCAATGGAACGAATATTGAGACATCTGGTAAATTAATTCTTTTAACAATATTTATAATTTTCTGCAATGTAAAGATCGATCTGTGATTTAATTATTAAAGTTGTTTTAAAACTGTTTTATTTTTTTTTTAATGTTGAAAGTATTTTTTTTTCAAACATAGGATTCATTCCTCATGAAATAGATTGCAATCTGTTTGTTAAAACCTTATCACTTTAAATGAATAATATATTAAAATATTTAATTCTATATATATTAAAGGGTTCCTTTGGTTTAAGAATTTTATTTTTAAAATTCAAATTTTTCTTATTTAGACATGGTCAACAACTGTTCATCTTTCTTGAAATCAAATTCAAGTTTTTTTTCGGATTTTTGTTTTGAATTATTTTAAAATCTTAAGAAGTCTGCATAATTTAATTTCTGTCATTGTATTAATTTGTTCGATTTTATAAATATTTTAATAATTCACATATATTATATTTATATATTCACATTACCTTAAATAACTAAAAATGTATTGTTGAATATTTTATGCTTCCAACAAAACTAAAGAGCAAATCGACATTACAAATTGGGATTTAACATAAAAATTCAAAAATTTTGCCATATCTAATAAAAATTTTCGTTGCAAAAAGTTAATTTTTTTTTATAAATTTAATATTTGTTAGTGTACAAAGGAAAATTTTTCATAAAAAAAAAATTTTATCAAAATAAATTTTTCTTTTCTTTTACAGAATAATTAAATTTTAACTCTTCACAAAACATTTTGGAAATGCCTATTGAAAAGGGAAGAAGAACGAAATTCAATTTGTTTTGATTCTTTCTAATGTTTGATTAGTGTTTGATTAGTTATTTTCTACCCAAGTTTCAATACTGAACTTTTTAATTGCACCTGTTTAACAATATTTTGTTAAAATTATTATATTATATCCATTAAAAATAAATTGTATATTGTAAATGAAATTAAAAAATACACAGTATTTTATATTTTAAAAATAAAAAAGGCATTTTCAACGAGATTTTAATTGCGTGAAATTTCTTTGATAATTATTTTAATTTTGAAAGGAAATCAAATGATACAACTGGTTCATTAAATTTGAAGTCAAAATACAGTACGGACCTTAAATTAAATGTAAAATTTTGTTCATTTATATTTGTTTGCATTTTATGAGACAAAACAAATAATTAACAAAAAGCAAAAATCCCATAAATGTATTTGTTGGTATCGAGGGATATCCTCATATGTCCAAAACATTTTTTTTTTATTCAGTTTAGCAATTACATCAGAATTGGATTGTCCTTTTAATACAGACAAAAGAATAATAAATAAAAATATTAATCATTCATAGTGTGTAGATGAATATCATGTGGCATAACTTTGATTCCCTGATAAATAGAATAAAATTTTAAAACTAAAAAATGTCCATATTTCCTAATTTTTATATCTGACAAATATATCAAGCTGTGTTGAGAATAAAACTAAACATTAATCGTATTTTATTCCATTCCAATATCAATAATATTTAAGTTTTATCTGTTAAATCGTCATTTTTATAAAAGTAGATATGGACATATATATATTTATATAAATATAAATATACAAAATCTTTTTGATGTCTTGGAATGGTTGTTGAAAATTTGAAATTGTTTATAATTTGTTCTTTTTTTTTTATTCCATCAGCGTTATATATGTTAAACATATTCTTACCAAAAGTTCTTAAGGAAAATATCCTGCATAAAGTTCGAATAGATTTTTCAACTATTATTTAATGAGAAAATCCTAGAAAATGAATTTTCAGAAAAGCTTTCTTTTTATTCATGGAGTCATACACACAATGAAAAAAATTTCTTGAAAGTATATAAAAATATATATATATATTTTCAAAGATTGATATTGGGGATATATATTTATAAAACTATATTTGTTACCAAATAAAATATATTTATATGGGAACATAATTGAATTAAAAATTTTATTTAATTGTTTTTTTAAACAAATTTTTATTTTGTGGGGAATTTCAGTTATTTGTGAAATTTAGTACATTGGCACTCAAATATGAAATATATTATTTATAAATTTATATAGATAAAATATAAAGAATATATTTTTACTTAAGATATTATTCAAATTTCATGTGTTAAATTATTTCATCCAAATTATTTATTTTTAACTAATACCTGAATAATGGTTTCTGGTCAAAATTTATATATTAAAAGAATGATTTATTTTATTTCTTTATATCTATAAAATTATGAATTCTCACTTTTTTTTCTTATTTCTCATCTGATACCCTAAGTAATTTAAATAAAAAAATGTTTAAACTTCAAAAAAAAGATTACCTAGAATTTTTGTTTAGAAAACAAACACGAATAAATTTCATCATTTTCTGATTCAAAATAAAAGTATTTCTTTTTGCTTTTTATGTTTAAAAGACTAATTTTTAAACCTTTCAATTACGTACTTTCATTGGAATTTTTCCTAAAAAATTCCAAGAAAAAAATAATACCAAAAAAATTAAATATTCTAAAAAAGGAAGTTTTATGTTTAATGGAAATATATTATAAGATAAAATATTCCAAAATTTTCAAATTGAAAACTTAATTTTAGTTTTTTAATTTGATTTGGGAGAGACCAATTTTAATAACTAACGGAATATTTTTTAAAAAAGATTTTCAAACCTAAAGCCGTTTTAACAAATATAATTTTCTTGAATTTTTTTTCAGATAAATTTATTTGTTTTGTGATTAATGTTACAAACCATTAAGATATAAAAGACATTGTATTTTTTAAAAAATTAAGGAACTTCTTTTGAAAAAATTTTTCTTGAACAATTTTCTTGTCAATTTGGCTGAGTTCAAAAATTGATATTTAGATAATTGGGAACCATGATAAAAAAATTATATTAAAATAAATTTATTTGGAAAATTTTAAAGAATTAAAAATAAAAATTTTAAAATCTTTTAAATTAGGTTTTATTTCTTTTATTATATTTGTATGAAATGGATGAATATAAATAATGTTTTATTGAAATTTTTTTCCGTTGATCGGACTAGATTATTAATAAATATATAAAAATATGAAAAAGCTTTATATTGGAAATCAAATAACTTTTTATTTAAAAAAACGAATTTTCATCATATTCCTTTGTATGAATTTATTTTGTAAATCTTGTCATATAAAAATCAATAGCAATGGTCTTCCAAGTATGTGAAAAACAAAAATTATAAATCAATATTTATAATATTCTATTTCAAATTCCGTAAATACCATCTAGTTTTAAGATAATAAAAAATTTCGATCAATTTTACATTGAATATGTTTATGTTCAGAGGAACATTAAATTTTTTAATAGTTCAAATGAACAATCTTTATTTAATTCAACAATTTTTTTATCCTGACTGATTCTGATAAAACATTTTTTATGAACATGATTTTGTTAAATTCAGTAAAAAAATTTAAATAAAATACTAATTAATTAATTATTGACTTTTTTATTGTAGTAAAAGGACAAAGCTGACCTTTTGGTCCATGAATTTAAGTTGTATTTTTTAAAATAAAATAAGTCATTAATATTAAATGGTTTTTAAACAAATACCAATCAGTGAAAAAAAAGTTTTATGACATCTAATGTTTAAAGAAAATCTTGCCTTAAACAGCACCAATCCTGGAAAATTCGGAATATTGAAAAAAGTTTTGAAAAAAAATTCATTATTATCATATAAATTTTTATTATAGAAATTATTCTTTGAAAAAAAAGAATTCCTTTCTGTCAAGTCAAAGGAAATTTAGCCATTTTCTATGGTTTGATAAAAAAAATTCTTGGAAAAGATTATTTATGTCTTCAATTAATAGAAACATGGAAAAAATGAGTATACAAAATTGAAATTTCAAATTCC